AAATTTAAGGCGTTTTCGGCTCTAACTCCTAACCTACACGTGCTAATTACATCCTGTCTTTTGTCACAAGTCCTAATTTCCATAGGGAAGCTGTTTGTGACATCTGTATGGTGGTTCGGGGGCCGATTCGCGTTTTCGCCCCTTAATGCCTTTTTCGGTTAAGTTTAAAGCATTTTCGGCTCTAACTCCCAACCTATATGTGCTAATTACATTCCTTTTATTGTCATAGGTCCTATTTGTCGTAAGAAAGCTGATTGGGACATCCGTACGGTGGTTCGGGGGCCGATTCGCATTTTCGACCCCTTAACGCCCTTTTTCGGTTAAGTTTAAGGTGTTTTCGGCTCTAACTCCCAACCTATACATGCTAATTCCATCTCGTCTGTTATCACATGTCCTAATTTCCATAGGGAAGCTAGTTGTGACATCCGTACGGTGGTTCGGGGGCCGATTCGCATTTTCGCCCCCTTAACGCCTTTTTTAGGTTAAGTTTAAGGCGCTTTCGGTTCTAACTCCCAACCTACACGTGCTAATTACATCCCGTCTATGGTTACACATCCTAATTTTCATGAGGAAGCTGGTTGTGACATCCTTACAATGGTTCGGCGGCCAATTCGTATTTTCGCCCCCATAACGCCTTTTTTCAGTGAAGTTTTAGCCGCTTTCGGGTCTAACTCCCAACCTACACGTGCTAATTACATCCCGTCTATTGTCACAGGTCCTAATTTCCATGGGGAAGCTGGTTGTGACATCCATATGGTGGTTCAGGGGCCGATTCGCATTTTCACCCCCTTAATGCTTTTTCGATTAAGTTTAAATCGTTTTCGGCTCTAACTCCTGACCTATACGTGCTAATTACATTATGTCTGTTGTCACAGGTCCTATTTGTTGTGAGGAAGCTGGTTGTGACATCCCTATGGTGGTTCGAAGGCTGTTTTGCATTTTCGCCCATTTAACGCCCTTTTTCGGTTAAGTTTAAGGCGTTTTCGGCTCTAACTCCCAACCTACACGTGCTAATTACATTCCGTTTATTGTCATAGGTCCTTTTTGTCATGGGGAAGCTGGTTGTGATATCTGTACGGTGGTTCAGGGGCTGTTTGCATTTTCGCCTGCTTAAAGCCCTTGTTTGAATAAATTTTAATAAAGAAATCTACATACACTACAACAAAACTAACTATTTACGGCTTTAACTTTACAGCATACATTAAATGCACGTGGTAATTAGTACATTCTACGATATTTTTTTTTGCATGTTGTTAATGGTTTTTCAATAACGACATACTTACCTTGTAAGTCGTTAATTCATATATTTATGACATACAAAAGTATGCCGTAAAAAATGTATGTTTTCACGACTTAAAAAATATGTCATAAAATATTTGTACTTAAGACGACATACATTTCATATTGTAGAACAATTATAACTTTACACGACATGCATTAACATGTCGTGAAAACTTCTTTAAAAAAGAAAAAGAAAAAATCCAATCCGATTTTTTTATGACATGCAAAAGTATGCCGCAAAAAATGTATATTTTCACGGCATCCAAAAGGAAAATGGTTTGTAGCTCGAATCTGCCCTTCCCCGAATCCCCCGACTGTAATACCCTTGTCTCGTATTATGTTAATTGGTCCTTATTTTGAATATGAGTATGTGTTTGACATGATTTTGTGTGCCATTATATAGTTTTGAATTTCTATCTGTTCACCGTAGGAATATCTGTTTGATTTTTCCGTTTCGGAAATTAAATTGAAGGCCTTATTAGCCACAGAACTCGAAATTGATTACGCCATTGTGATTGGCATAATTTTTAGAGCCTACGGTGAAATTTAATTGAAAATTGATTTGGATCAAATTAAGTTGATTAAATTGGTGAATTAGTGCCCAACTATTTAATATTATTAAATAAGCATTAGTGGAACTTTTTATATGGCCATATACACTCTCTTTGCTCCTTTTTGAACTCAAAAATCTGAGATACGCATGGTGAGGGTGTGAAGGCCGGCTATAGAGAGAGAGAGAGAGAGAAGAATTGTGCAAGTTTTGCTCTTGAACTTTGAAAGTCTTGAAGATAACTCAAGAATTTGCCATAGATTGTGAAGATTAAAGCTCCTTGGTGAGTAATTCATGTGTTTTTAGTTATCATCTTGTGAATTCAATTTGAATGAGGGTCAAGAACATGAATTAATTTGATTTTGTTGTATTAAAGACCCATGTGTGCATGCATGTATGTAATTGCTTGAATTTGCATGTTTGAGTTTAAAATACATGATCCATGTAGGATTTTGGTTAAAGCTCATGTATAATCACCATTTGTGTCATCTAAGTTGAAAATGGGAGCAATACATCACATGCATGTACAATTTATGAAGATAAGAGCATTGAATGCATGAATTTGTATATTGGAATTGAGTTTGGTGTCAATTTGGGGCATGCATGTGTTTGATTCATGAAATTGAGCTCCATGATGATGTGTTTTAGTGTTTATACCATGTTAGTACAAGAATATGTGAGGTTGGAGCCATAAAATGCGAGAAATGTTGGTTTGAATGTTGAGAGGGAGCTCAAGAACACATTCTGGATTTTCCAGAATTTTGAGGTCTGCTTGAGCGGGAGAACCTCCGCTTGAGCGTAAATTACGTGCTCCCAGTACTTTTTGCAGACTTGGTGTCCGCTCGAGCGGGGTATTTCACGCTCGAGCGGGGAGCTTTGTAGACAGGCCTTCCGCTCGAGCGCCCTATTTCACGCTCGAGCTTATTTTTCATGCAATCAGTACTTTTGCAGGCCTTAAGGGCCTGCTCGAGCGGGAGAGTGCACACTCGAGCGGGGACCCTGTTTTCTGAAATTTTGTTTTCGCATTCTGTGTTTCGTTTTCCGTTCTCTTTCACTTGCAAGCACTCTTAGGTATGTGTTAAACATTGTAAATGAGTTAAAGAGATAAGAATAAAGCCTAAAGAGGAAAATGTGAATTTAGAACGGATTGGATTGTTAGTGACCCTTTTGTGTTCATGGAATGTGTAGGGTCGAGCTCCAGAGCAAATCCACAAACCGATCACTGTGAGTAATATCTTAACAAGATATTTGAAATATACTATTGTCCAATTGTTTACTTATATGTAAGTTTTATAAGTTCATTAATCTGAATGGTGGACAACGATAGATATGAATGATTGGGCCGAAGGCTGATAGATACGAATGATTGGGCCGAAGGCCGATTGATACGAATGGTTGGGCCGAAGGCCGATTGACATGAATAATTGGGCCGAAGGCCGATTAACATGAATGACTGGGCCGAAGGCTGATAGATATAAATGATTGGCCCAAAGGCCGATAGATATAAATGATTGGGCCAAAGGCCGTTTGCTGTAACTGTTTCAATGATTGCTTATGTATTTTCTTTAATTGATATTATTTACTGGGCATTCGCTCATGCTCATTCATGTACATGTAGGTGAGCCAAGGGACGTCCAAAACCAGCCCCGGTGAAATTGTGAGAAACAGTCAGAGTTTTGAGGAGTCAGCCCAAACGTCTCACGCACGAGACTGCCTTGGCCCTTTTGTCCTCTGTTTATAGTTTTGTTTTGTTGGCGAAAACATCGGACCATTTTTGTATATAAGTCTTGGGTTTGACTGACTTAAATCTACATGATCCTGTATGTACAGTGTTTTGTGCTAGTACATATTTTGGTGTGAGTTATTAACATATAAATCTTTGGAATCTTATGGTGTGCACTTAAGCACAACTCTATGGATAAAGTTTCAAATTTGCTTCCGTTTGGCCCCCATTAACTCTGTTAAAATACGTTTGGTTCGGTTTGAGGCCGTAGGTAGTCTCATGATTACTGGCCGGTTGTGTCCTTAACCCACGGGAGCGGGTTCAGGTCATGACACCGACTGCCCAAAATGACGTCGTTTTGGGTAGTTTCTTTTTTTTTTTCCCCCTCCTTATGCAGTCTGAAACAAAGGGAGAGAGAGAGAAAGAGAAAGAGAAAGAGAAGAGAGAAGAAGAGAGGGGAAGAGGGAATGGAGAGAGAGAGGGGGGGTCGATCGCCGATCGCCACCGCCTCCGCCTTTGATTTTTTTTTTTTTTTTTAGATCGAAGCCCGGTTATTTTTTTTTTTCTGAAAATGTGTTGATGACGATGGTGGTGATGTTGATGAAGATGTTGTTGTTAATGATGAATGGTTGAATGGTTGAAGATGCTGTTGTTGTTGAAGATGAATAGTTGAATGGTTGTTGATGATGATGCTGATGAAGATCTGAAGATGATGATGATGATGTTGTTGATGATGATTTTTTTTTCTCTCTCTCTCTTTGCTACTCTCCCCTACCTCCTCCTCCTTTTTCTTCTTTCTTCTTCTGCGTTATTGGGGAAAAAAAAATCAAAACGACGAAACGACGTCGTTTTGAATTCGGGGGATTCGGGGAAGGAAGGATTCAAGCTACGTAGCATAACTGCATCCAAAAATATGTCGTAAAATATTTGCACTTAAGACAACATACATTTCATGTCATAAAATATTATAACTTTACACGGCATGCATTAGTATGTCGTGAAAACTTTTATTAAAAAAAAATTCAATATGATTATTTGTTTTCAATTTAAAAAAGTTATCAATTTCCAATCAAGCTTCTCACCTTAAATTTTCCCAATTGAGGGCAACGTAAAAACTAATTTATACATTATTTTATAATTTAGTATAATCTTTTAAGGAATAATTGCACCCAGTGGGATTTTTGGGAAAAAATTACATGTTCATGAAAAAAGTTTATAATTTTAATTATTAATATTTATATTACTTCTCACTTATTTGTAATTATTTTTTTCAAGATTATCTTGATTTGATATTTTCCCTTCTTTTAATAATTTATTTTTTTAAAAAAACTTTTTAGGTGTGTCTAATATGAATAAAAAGTAAAATATTTGTAAAAAAAATTACAATAAAATATAATATATATGAAAATTTTATATTTTTTTGAATTTAGTGATTTTTTTAGAAAATTAAAAAAATTTAGCGATTCAACCTCTATGCAATCTCCTCTCTGATTCAACGTCGACCTAGAAGCTGGAGAAGAAGAAGAAGAAGAAGAAGAAGAGGAGGAGGAGGAGGAAGAGGAGGAGGTTAAGAATGGAGACACAGTTGAAGAGGTCAAGGTCGAGGTCTCTGTATAGTATACTCAATCTATTTAGGCACAGTGATAGTTGGTTAGGTCTCCTCTCTCACATACAACAAACACAACAAATCAACTATTTAAACAGTGCTCCATCTCCGTCTCCGTCTCCGTCGCCGATTGGGGCTCTCTCGCTCTAGATTCAGGTTCGTTCTTTCTCTCTCCGATCTTTGCTCTCTCTCTCTCTCTCTTGATCTTTCCCTCATCGAAGACACTTGCGAAGTCTCGACCTTTGTATTCTCAAGGTAATTTCTATATCTATTCTCTCTTCTTCATTGATTGAAATTTTGGAATAGAAACCCTAGTTTCAAGTTTTTCTATGATTAGAGCTTAAATCATGTATACTTGATGTGATAGTTATTTTTCTTGTTCTTGCTCATCAAGAATTTTGTTTTTCTCTAATCCCGATTTATGGTGATTTTCTCAGATTTGCTCGTTATCTCTGATTAGAACATTCCTAAGATTCACAAGGTCACAATCTTAACCACAAAGCAATGCAGGTTCTCATCAAACTACATAAGATCATACTCCCTTTATCTAGACTCTGAAATTGTAAGTTTCCTTAGGCAGCTTGAAAGGTTTAATCAATGGTTGGATGACTTGGTTGCAGATGGAATTGGGACCAATGAGAGAATAGAGACCTTATGGAAGCAGTTATATGGATTTCTATTGGAGCATGTTTAGTCCGTCTTTGTTGTTAGTAATTATGGCTGTGTTTATCTTTGAATTTTGATACTTTCTGGCAACATTATTACAGTACTTATTATTTATTTCTTTTGCATCTCAGTTTATATTTCATATTGTATATCATGTCCATCAGTTAGGAGTTGGGGATTTTTCATTGGAAATTATGAGTATGCAACATTATTTTGTTAGAGATGTTATGTAATGCATATTATGTGTGAATAGTGAATATGAATATGCTTTCTACACATGTTTAGTGCTTGTAAAACTCAAATAAAGTGAAACCATGAAGGGTAATGGGTGAAATTAGTTACAGTGATTTGGTCTTTAATTCAAAATTTGAAAGAAATGATTTACTGAGTTGAAATGTATTGGTTAATTTGGTGAAGGTTTGATTCATCAAGTTTTTAACTACTCAAGGGTCTATTTGGGGTTGGGTGAAGAAGATCAAGTGCCGATGACACCAAAATCGATTGTGTTTTGTAGTGGAACTGGTTTTGGTTGAAGGTTCTAGAGGGGGTTTCTTGGTGGTTTTGTCCATAACAACCATATGCAGTCTCTGCATACAACAATCCTCACCATTTCTTAGTAATATATTTGTTGGGTTTGGTGGTTTTGAGGAGTACATTCAGATTTAGATGGAGTTTGTAGGGCAAAGTGAGGGTATTATGGTGTTTTTGGTTGGGAAGGAAGTGCAAGAAGCCTTTGAGACATTTAGTGTTGAGCTATTGTGGTAATAGCTTTTGTGGTTACAAATTTTAGGTGATATTATCATTTCAGAAATGAGGTTCTCTTCTGCTGGTTTCACTCAGCAGTCTCCTGAAGGTATATTTCTCTGGGTTCTTTTTTGTTGTTGTTGAATTTCAGTCTTTTTCCCTGTTTTCCTGGTTTGGAGATCTTTTAGTGTCTAGTTCAGCTGCGAAATATTGTTGTTGTATCTTCTGGTTCTAGTTCCTTTTTTTTTTTTGGGGGATTTGTTGAATTTCTGTCATTTTCCTCTACATTTCACACACTTTTTCCCTTTCTATTTTCCAAATCCCTCTCCAAATCCATGAACCAAACACATCGTTAGTATCAAGTTAAGCTGCAAAATATTGTTGTTAGACTGATTTCTTGTTAAAAAATTACATTGATAATCTGCAGGGGAGAAGGGATGTTTGAATTCTGAACTTTGGCATGCATGTGCTGGTCCTCTTGTTTCCCTACCTGCTGTTGGAAGCCGCGTGGTGTATTTCCCTCAGGGCCATAGTGAGCAGGTCAGTCTACTTTGATTGGTTTTGACATATTCCTTGCTTTTAGATTTTTGAAATCAGAAATAGTAAACTACTACTTAGCTTTGCTTTATCTAATGTTATCTTATGTAATATGACAAGGTTTTCACCTTTTTTTCCTTTGGTTTTTCTTTCTCTTTCCTTCTCTTTTTTGGAAGGATAGGTGGGATTGGTGGCTGGGCTGAAATTACCAATTACACTAGATGAATTATACTATATTGTGATTGATTTTACAAGGTATGATTTATGGAAATATGTTATTGTAGATATTGCTATATGATCTCTGTTCTTAATTGATCTGAAAGTCAACATTTTAAATGGCTAGAAATGAGAATTTGACTTTCAATGGTAGTTTTATCATTATGTAACACATTTGACGGCATTTTAGAATATTGCAATTAAATTTAGTTTATTAGTTTACAACAGTATGATTAATTAAGTTGGCCCCCCAGACTTCGCTTGCTCTTTATTGGAATTCTTCTGGTTCATGCCTTTTACACTAGACATGCATTTGGGAAATTCAGAATTGTGGCATTATTTCATTGTCCATGGTGTTTTGGGATCTCCTTCAATTTTCCACTATGTATTCCTTTATATTTCCGTTGTGCAGTTTATATTGTTGTAATGGATTAGGGTGTTTTTGTTTCAATTTTCATCAAGGAGATAATGTCCCCCCTTATTTAACATCATTTGAGCTATGGGTTTTCCTTCAGAGCTTCTTCGAGAGGTATGAATTTCTTTCTATATTTGGAACTCTGTATTGGCCAAAAGTCTATGCAAGTTTACTTTGATATGTAATCTTAGTGTTTTCTGTGAAAACTTCAGTAATTGCTGGAGGTCTGATGTGAAGCTTCAGGACTCACATTCATTATTTTCCATCTTTACTTTTTGTCGCAGGTGCAATATTTACTTTAAGAATTATATATTCAGGTTGTCTCGTCGCGATCACTTTAGCCAAAGTCTTCTTCGAAGAATGTTTTCACAGTATCTTCTCTCTTTAGCTCTTGTTTTTTTTTATTCTTTCTTGCTGATTTTTGCTTGTATTTTGAGGTTCCTATGATTTTTCGGTGGTTTAGTGTGGAGTGAATTGATGTTGAATTTGATATTTTGAAGTTGAATGAGAGGAGCACAATAAAAACATAATAAATATTGCAGAGGCATAGAGGCTGGAATTGCAGTGATAGGACATGTGGGGCTTACTCCTCAAGCCATCAGTGTTCTTGGAGGATTTAGGGCTCAAGGAAAGAATATTGGTAGTGCTGTCAAAGTCAAAATTTGTCGCTCCTTACTATGCATACATAACATAAATACTTCATAATTTTTGTTGATAAAAAAAAAATACATAAATACTTCATAATTTCATACATAATGAAATATGCTCACACACAAATTTGCATAATTTATTTTAGTGTTGTGATGCTAAATTGGCTTGGTTTCTGTAGGTTGTTGAGTTTGCCTTGGCTTTGCAGGAAGCTGGGTGCTTTTCTGTTGTTCTGAAATGTGTGCTTATACCTGTTGCTGCTGCTGCAACATCTGCTCTTCGAATCCTTACCATCGGTATTGGGGCAGGAACTTTCTGTAGTGGCCAAGTTAATTGATTCTTTAGCTTTCTCTAGTAGACTTGACTGGCTTGTGTTGTGTATAATCTTTTTGTTTTCATTTGTACATATAATTTGCTATTTGATCTTGTAATTTTCTTTTAAAGTACTAAAATGAATATTTTAATGATATCATGTGTTCATATATTGAGTTTACTCATATAATAAACTTTGAATTTGCTCTCTCTCTCTCTCTCTCTCTCTATATATATATATATATATTAAAAATAATCCTCTACGGCATATAAAATTATGTCATGAAAAGTGTAATGATTTATGACATGCAAGAAAATGTCGGAAAAGATTATATACGGTATACAAAATATGGCATAAATATATTAAAAATGATCTTTTACGGCATATACAATTATGTCGTGAAAAGTGTGATGATTTATGACATGCAAGAAAATGTCGTAAAATATTATATACGGCATACAAAGTATGTCATAAATATATTAAAAATAACATTTTACGACATGTAAAATTATGCCATAGAAAGTATGATGATTTAAGGTAAACTACCAATAGGTCCTAATAGTTGGACTTAATTCCCATCAAGTCCTATTAAAAATAAGTCTTGGTAAAATTGTTGTTAAAAATAATTTTTTGTGACAATTTTTTAATATGTCGTTAAAAATTGACAATTAGTGACTTTTTTTTGTCATGATTTTTATAAATTGTCGCTAAAACTTACAATTAGTGACTTTTTTTATGGCAAATTTTTCTCATAGGACCTATTAGACAATAAGTCCACTTATTAGGACCTACACGTAAGTACCCCGATGATTTATGGCATGACAAAAATGTCATAAAAAATTATATACGGCATACAAAGTGTGTCATTAATGTTTAATTTATTACTTTTTATGACTTTACTTGCATACTTAAATGATGCTCCGCTTTCTACGGCATGTCATATAACGACATTTGTGTGCATGCCGTGAAATAGTTTTTACGGCATGTATTGTAAGCCATAAAAATTCAATTTTGTTGTAGTGATAGGTTTGTCTCTAGGTCTCCGATTCCTTTAATTTGACCTGATATCCAAGTACATTACAAAATATTCCTATTTCTTAACAAATTTCATTTATTTTCTAGAATAAAATGGTGTGCACACAATATGCCATAAAGCCTTTTATTCATATTTTCTATATAGTTTTACGATTAACTTGAATTGGTAAGTATGTTTGTAGGTGAATGTCTAATTACACATATTGGCTACATATCTCATACTCATATTCTTATCGAAGTATAATGTCTGACAAGGATACTCTATACATTTAGAAAAGGATAAATTTCACTGACCTCTCCTAAAGTTTACAGAAAATACAAGCATTAATTTTGGTGTGTTTAGTAAGACTAAATGTACCGAAATTAATACAAATAGGGCAAAGATACAAAGAGAAATAAGGTAAAATAAACATTTCAATGTAAAAGAGTTGATAATATCATTTTTTCATAAATATGAATAAATTATTGATGAAAAGGGGTTTAAGTGTTATGTAAATTAAAATTTTTAGGGATCCCAATGTAATTATGCCAAACTTGTGGAGTTCACTTTATTTTTATTTTTATTTTTTCAAATCTTAGGGGAGGATAGTGAAATTTACCCTTAGGAAAGTATGTAACATAAAGATAATGAGATCCATATTAATAAATACATATGAAATCCATCATCTTTGAGTTTAGAAGTAATAAATCGAAAATTGGGTAAGAAATAATACTCAACTAAATTATAGCATTTCACAAAACCATGGAAAATGGGATAACATCACAAAAAAGAGATTAAAACAATTTCGCAATAACAATAAGTATCTACCCTCAAGTTTCATTGACAGAAAATTTATTTCTCTTTGCTACCAAAAAGCATCCAAAGCATGACAACAAACTCAACTTGACCAAAAAAATAACAATAAGTCAAGGAACATAAACATTAAACACAGAACTTGACAAAAAAATATATTGACAAAACATGATTTTTTAGAAGTGAGACCGTCAACTAATTTTGTAGAAATGATGTGCATTCATGTGTTTCCAGGTTCGGTTTTGTGTTTGGTTTACATATTCCTAAACTTACTAAAAACTATTAACAAAAGTATATAAAATGAGGAAGGGCACGAGAACAACTACTCTTGGGGAACTAAGCTAATCTCACCTTTATTGAGCGAGTCATAGAATCCTGTGGTTCTTTTCTACATGTCCCGCTGTTTCTTTTTCTACACGCTGGCAACAGACAGACTGGTTATTATCCCCAAACAAATCTCCTTAATCAGCCCTGGACCTTTCAAGGTGACCTGATGACCAACCATTTTCACTCTGGTTGTAAAGAAGAAATCTCTACAGTTTAGAGAAGGATCATAAAGGGCATATCATAAGTTAATTGTTAATTAACTTAACATGATAATTGGTTCAATTTTCTCCCAAAAAAACGAAGAAGATATAAGATCAACCAATTATTGGCCACCAAAGTATGACAACCTAGTACACGAAACTTTTTTCTAAAGCGAGTTTTAAGGAAGGCAAGATGTATGCAATCTTAGTCTTAATTTTCAAGACGTTGGCCACCAAAGTATGGGATTGAATTTCTTTAAAAAAATCTTCTATCTTATTAATGACATGAATATTCAAGGTGTTTTCCCTCGCTCAACTATTCTTTATTTCTTTTTTTATTTTTATTTATTATTAGTTTTTTTCTGGTGTCCACAACTTTAGGCAAGGAATTTAACGTCCCCTAGATCTTTTAACCTCTTTCAAATTTTATCTATTGATTAAACTCAATTTTCTTAATTTAACCATTATAATTGCAACTTGTTCTAGCACTATTAGCATGTATGAGGCCAAAGAGAAACATATCGGTGTACAAGCTTAATCAAAATATAATAAAAAAATACAAAAGTCCCCATCGGACTGAAACATCTACTCCGTGCTTTAGGCCCTCATATGTTGCTTCTTAATTCATTTTAATACATGATATTCCTACCCTCATCATCTCATGAAAAATTTAACACTAATTGGATAAACTTTTTCAGTAATGCTTGGTGGCCCGAATTTTCATGGTCCGAATGGCTCGAATGTCTTAAAACGACAATTCGGACCACCAAGCATTTTTCAAACTTTTTACATGTGCTTCCTAGTTTTTATGAAGCACAAAAGTCCCCATTAGACCACAACACCCACTCAATGCTTTAGGCCCTCATATGTTGCTTCTTAATTCATTTTAATACATGATACTCCTACCCTCATCATCTCATGAAAAATTTAACACCAATTGGCTAAACTTTTTATGTGTGCTTCCTAGTTTTTATGAATGCTAGAAAATAATAAACTAGGATTTTCCTTTTTGGATTTTTAATTTTTGCAATGTGAAACTAAAGAAAACGATGATGGAATTGGTGTTCATGGAAATTTCTTAAGAGAAGTGTCCTATAAGCAATCATGACTTGAAAAAATAGGAGCTTCACAACACACTATTGCATATCATAAAGTTTGACAAACCAAATTACAATGAGCAAAGCCGTGCCTTAGGAATTTACATAATATAAAGGGGAGATGAAGGTAGCAATTATACAATACCTAATTGATTAGATGATCATCTTTTTCATTACTTATGGTGAATGTCATTGTAAGTTCGGCGTAAAGCCTCATATAGCATAACCCTCAAGTGTTAATACAAGTATAAGAGTGATGCAATGTTATATTAGCAAGGTGCCATGCATGATGTGCATGAAGTTTATTTATTTTTCTTTCTATCCGATCAAGTTTCACACTTCTCACTTTGCATTTGCAACAAAATAGAATGTTGAATTTAAAATTTAAAATAGTTACAAGCTAAAAACCTATTATATCGCTTGCAGAACGTAGAGATATTTATGAAAAACAAATGGTGTTCTAGGAAAACTAAATATTGACATGGTTTAAGAAACAAGTAAGGGTGTTCTCTTTTTAGAATTTTATAGATATGGATTATAGATAGGTATATGGTGTCCAAGTTTAGGGCTAATTTATTACTACTTTTCCTGAAAGATATCTTGAGTTGAGAATCTCTAATAAAATTGCAAATAGGGGCCTTCAAAGTTTCTAAAAGCATCGTAATAGTTCTATTTTCCTTCTTTTTGTCAACAAAACTGGAGAACGAAGACAAAAAATAAAAAATAAAAAATACACACATACATATATATATATATATATGACATCTGGCCTAGACAAACTTAATTACAAAGCATATAACTTAATTAAATGTTTCTTCAAGTAGATCCACTTAGCTTAACAAAAAGGACATGAATATAGGTTCGATATAGCTCAAGAAAACAATCAAAAAAGAGAGATTGATATGAATAAAGTGAACAGGTCAAACCAATTCGAACCTAATTTCACTCCCAGACATCTATTTGATATTAATTAGCACAACACAGCATAAAGAGAGAACAAGTCCTATATTTCACAACATAATGTCACAGATTCATGGATCTGAAACAGAAACTAATGGAAAGCAAATGACACAATTCATAAGTACAGAACCGCAATACAGAGCTTGAAGCTAGGGATAGAATCATAGAAAAGCAAAATAAACGCCAAAGTTCTACATTTCAGTTTAAAATTCATAATCCATCTGGGTTTCCCACATTCGCTTCAGTTTTCTCACCATCTTGACTGAAAGTGGACAATACATTCTGTACAAGTTCATTACTGGTACTAAATAATTTAGAATTAGAATACCCGAGTCATGTCCCAAATTCTTGCTCAATCTTGCTTGAATTTGGGATTTCTATGTAAAAATCAACACAAACCCTATACCAAGTGTGGGAAATCAACACAACATTAACTCAAATTCAACACAAAATTAAACAACAAAAATCATATAAAACCCTAGGGCAAGTGTGAGAAATGGGAAAATAGAGGAAGGGGGAGAGAGAGAGAAAGAGAGAGAGACCGAGATGCACAGAGAGGGAGAGAGAGCTCCATCGACAGATAGAGATAGAGACTGAGAGCGACAGAGCGAGAGAAACATACCTGTGATTAAGTGGCGTTGATACTTTATAGGTGGTGGTGGCGATGTGCGACGGTCTCTCTCGCCGGTGGCCAATGACGGTGGTGAGCGGGGTGAGGCATGGTAATGTCGAAAAAGAGCGAAATTTTTTTGAGACATTGTATATCGT